AAGGGTAGATCTCGGATGCACTTGTGCTATAAGGAGATACAGGCATGAATTGTTCCATCTATGTGTAGCCCTTGTTCTTTAAGGATAGTTTAAAATAACTGCTGTCTCTCGTGGCCAAAAGGTAATACAAGGGAGGCCTTTTTCACTGGTTGTTATTAGCCACATCTGTTATCTAAACAGACAGGGCCAATTATTTAAACGAAGTCTAGGTTAACCTGTGTTTAAGGCTGAGCCACGGTTCAGACGTTGTCTTGATAAACAACGGTTAAACTATGTTTGAAATACGTTATTAAAACGTGACTGAGCTGTGTTTTGTTCTGTCAATGCTAAACAATTTCTCACAAGGAAATACATTGTTTGTGGGGTTAATTGTATGCACATTTAATTCCCTGTTGGAAGTTGTGACTCAATATGGTCGCTAAATCCGGTCAAACCACCAATTTATCAAAGAATAAAAACTGTCAATGACGGCAGTGGGAAGAGAATTTCCAGAAGCAAAAAAAGAAAGGAAACGACAAAACATTGCAAAAATCCAACTCTCAAAATCCAGATTGTACCAAACGGAAACTGAAACTCCAATCCAAAGAACACGATTTGCAAAGAAAGGCTAGTGGAGAAAAAGCTCTCAGTTTGTATTGAAGTTATTCGCAGGAAAGAAGCAAATGTCANTGTGTTTAAGGCTGAGCCACGGTTCAGACGTTGTCTTGATAAACAACGGTTAAACTATGTTTGAAATACGTTATTAAAACGTGACTGAGCTGTGTTTTGTTCTGTCAATGCTAAACAATTTCTCACAAGGAAATACATTGTTTGTGGGGTTAATTGTATGCACATTTAATTCCCTGTTGGAAGTTGTGACTCAATATGGTCGCTAAATCCGGTCAAACCACCAATTTATCAAAGAATAAAAACTGTCAATGACGGCAGTGGGAAGAGAATTTCCAGAAGCAAAAAAAGAAAGGAAACGACAAAACATTGCAAAAATCCAACTCTCAAAATCCAGATTGTACCAAACGGAAACTGAAACTCCAATCCAAAGAACACGATTTGCAAAGAAAGGCTAGTGGAGAAAAAGCTCTCAGTTTGTATTGAAGTTATTCGCAGGAAAGAAGCAAATGTCACGAAAAAAACAGAAAAGAAGGATAGTCAGCAGTACAGTAATTTTTAAACGCCCCCCAGCAATGAAGCTTTCATTTGGTATATATCAGGTTCCCAACAAATCACAGGGAATGTTGTTGTCGCTTCACAATCGCCCTTGAAACCTTGTGAATGGCTCAGTGTATGCAGTAAATACAGAAACACCAATTACATCGGCAATGATCTGCTCGAAAGTTGGCCCCTAGCCGTTGAATAAACTCTCAAAGCAATAGAAACTTGCAGCAACGGTGTAAGCAGCAGTCTCCTTGTATAATGCTGAAAGTTTTTTGTTAAAATATTTAAGAGGTCACTGACCGAGTCTTTTCTATAAGGCAGAAACGTAAAGCTATCCCTAAGGTGCGTAATTTGTTTCACATGTACTTTGCGTCGATTGTGGTAGTCTTTTTTTGTGTTAAGTCTCTGTTGTTTAGGAGTGCGTCTATTTCAGGTCATTTAAAAATGGATGACCATGAAAAAACCATAAATCAAGGTTTAAACCTACCTGTGAGTAGGTTTAACTTTCTGTTGTTCCTTAGTCGGTGTTTAGACACGGTCTAAAGAAGGTTAGGGAAGAACAGTGTTTAAATAATCGGCATTCATGGTTTAAACATGGGCAAGACAATGAATTTCATAAACGCTGTCTAAACTTGGTTTAAATAACCAGCCCACAATGTTCTGAAAAAAGTCGCTGAGGTGTTTGGTAAGAAGCACCCAAGGAGGTTTGAGTTTGGCGCACCACTGAAAGATCATGATGATTAGCAGCAAAACTAGCGAATAATACGGATTTACAACTTTTTTTCTTATTTTTTCTTTCTATTTAGTAACATTGACATATGCTATTCTGTAAAATTGTAAAAGTAAGTAGTCTTTGTAAAAAAGGAACCGAAAAGGCTAAAGGAATCAGATGGAAGTTCAAAAAATTTGAAAAATATACATATTCTTAATGCAGTCTCTGACAATACAATTTTCCCCCTACAGAATTGCACCTCTGGCCTCGTTTGGTCCGTCTCCTTTTTGAATAGGACCCCCCGAAAAAATCTTGGCCATGTGCCTGCAAAGTTAAGATTGTCGTCAGTGTAGACTCCTAGTAATTTTATTTCCTCTGTTACATGAAGCTTTTCTTTTATTGTAAGAGGCAATTGCAAATGTACATGACGTACACGTGCTCTCAAATTACCGTTACATTCTGGTTATTCCAAAAATGTGTATTCTGTCTTTTCCATGCTTGTTATACAACAATATTTCGGCTGGCCATACCACCAATCATTTTCCGCCGGGCNGTCTATTTCAGGTCATTTAAAAATGGATGACCATGAAAAAACCATAAATCAAGGTTTAAACCTACCTGTGAGTAGGTTTAACTTTCTGTTGTTCCTTAGTCGGTGTTTAGACACGGTCTAAAGAAGGTTAGGGAAGAACAGTGTTTAAATAATCGGCATTCATGGTTTAAACATGGGCAAGACAATGAATTTCATAAATGCTGTCTAAACTTGGTTTAAATAA